GGGCGGGGATCGAACTGGTGCTGAAGTGGGTTTAGCTTCTTAGTGCTGTGCTTTAACCCGCAGGCTGGCGGCTCTTCTATCACACCTGTCCCTGTCAGGGCAGTTCTTCCTGCCTCCTTGGGTCTGTGCAAGTGCCATTACTTCCGTTCCCTTTTTATAATAAACCTGCCCTTTTAAATATATATGTATACACAAATATGTGTGTATGTATGAATGTGTGTAGGTGCACTCGTGTATATATACGTAGATACAAAAAGAAGAGAGTTGTGTCCAAGTGAGGGTCCTACCTCTTCCTAGAGAGCAGCCTCCTTGACATTTCTTCCTTGTCAGTTATTTTGTATTCTACTTTGAGTTCCAATGGGATATTAGCAGTGGAGAGAAGGCTTCAGGCATAAAGCTGAGATGCAATCTCCTTGCAAGGCGGAGGACTCTCTGTGGCCTCTAAATAATTCATACAACATGTTAGTCATGGCATTTCTTGGTTGTTTTTTCCCCAGAGGGAGCATTTTAAATTACACAGATGAATAACATAGTAAGATGAACATTCCACTTAACCTGTAAACCACTTGGCACGATTCTGGTCACAGCACCTTAAATTGTCTCTCGCCTTGGCTGACTACTCTGTCTTCATACCAAACCGATCATTTTAGCAGAACTTGGTGAACCTGTTAGATCTGAGTCTGGTGAGCTCATATTGGGTGAACACTGGGGACATGGGTAGTTGATTACACAGCTCGGGGGGTGATCTGGGACACACCAGCGTATTCAATAGCCGGTGTGGGTTTGACGTTACCGAGGGATACCTTGGGCACGTTATTGCTGTGTGAAGGGGCATGGTCACAAAGGACTGAGAACTGGGCCCCGGGGTTTCCTACTTCTTAGGGGTGAGCAGAATAGAGGAGCTCTTGAAGGAGAGTGAGAGGGAGTATTTAGAGAGCAAAAGAGAAATCAAGGGTAGCTAAAGATACAGAAGCCAAAAGAGGAGAATTTTCAGATGAGGGAAGAGGCAACAGCATGAAATGTCAAGGCAGCCAGTGAGAGGGG